AAAAAAATTAGAAACATTAAAAAAGTTAAAGAACAACAACAAAAAAAATTGAAAATGAAAGAAAAAGAAAAAAAAAGAAAAAGAAAAAAAAAATGATAATGATAATAATAATAAATGCAGTCATAGAGTTCGATTAATTTCTCTTCCAGTAGGTGGAGCTGTGCCCACTGGGTCAAGCTTCTCCTCTCACTAAGTGGGAACCAATCACTGTGTAGCAGCTCTTCCTCACACACTGGGCGGGTCTCCAATCCTGAGTGCCTAGGGCCTTCTCTTGTGTTTCCTCAAGCCAGGCCGTGCTCACCTGTGACGCTCACCACAATACTGGCTACACGCCATGTCTGCTGCTCCTGGGAGCCCTGTTGCGCTGGTTTCAATGCAGTTATCTCCTCCGCCCGTGACGTCAGTTCTCTGCCAAGGTGGTATCACATGCAAATGGTGACCGTTCGTTCCCTTTGCCGGGTGACCAATGCAACGGGTGGGTCCTGACTGTCTCTCCCAATCCCTGTTTCAATCCTGTGGCCACTGCCTATGAAGGCTCGGTTGGTTTTTACCTCTGATAGTTCCTAAGTGCCAACCAGTTATTTCAGCGGGATCGTTAGTGCTGAGTCACGAGAAGCAGGCGAACCGGAGCTTGAATGCAGCCGATCCGGGCTCAGTGTGTGTGTTCTGAGGGGCCCAGACTGTACACCCCAGATCCATGTCAGCTCAGCATTGCCTAGTGATCCTGGGCAAACAGCATTTATACAGTTCACAGCTCCCTATGCCCGCGCAGTTGAAGAGGTCAGAGACTTGATCTCTCCCCGCCCGCTGCCATGTTAGATCTCCTCAATGATATTCATGTTGCCCTTACAGCTTCCTGACATAAGCAAGTTCTTGGGATTATACAAACTGCTGCTTCTGTTTCCAGTCCAGATTTCTAGAAATTAAACCCTGCCGCCGTCGCCTCTTCCCCAGGGCCACGCTCAGGGGCGCCGCGCTCGTCCGCGACCGTAGCTGCGCCGCCAACCGGTGCCCAGCCCCCGGGGCCCAAGCGGCTGCCGCCGCGGCTCTCCAGCTCCCTCCTCTGAAGCACGGGTCCCCTCGCAGGGGGATGCAGAACGACCCCAGAGCAGGCTCTGCCCGAGGGTGCAGCGGCGAACAGGCGACCCAGGCGCTCAAGGCTGCGGTCCAGCCTTTGGAGGACAGGGCTCGGCACGCAGCCCAGCTCCAACCTCTAGGTGCGGCTGCCGGACAATGTAGACATAGCCATCAAGACAGCTAGCAGAGAGCAAATGGCGGCTCCCGCGGAGTGGATTTTCGGCACAGAAACCGCAGCCCAGCCAACAATCCCAATCCACAAACTCTCCCTATAAAAAAAATATTCAAAAAAAAAAAAAAAAAAAGAAAAAAAAAGGCAGGGCGCACTGAGCTTTCTTTGCCTAGGGTACTTACAATCCACTGCTGATTACACATTCACCTTCTCTGCCCGGAGCGAAGTGAAAGAGAGCATGGGGTTTCTATTATTTTCCTTGCTATTTATTTCTAGCTTCATTCCGACATGGTCTGATATGATATATGGAATTATATATTTTTTCTTTTGTTTTGTATTTGCTAAGGCTTATATTGTGACTTAGAATATGGCCTATTTTTAAAAATATTTCATGAACTGGTGAGAATAAGGTAAATTCAGCTGTTTTGGGGTGAAGGATTCTGTGATGTCTATTAGATCCATCTGTTTTATACTGCTTTTTAAGTTGGTGATATCTTCGTTGATTTTATGCTTTGATGAACTGTCCATTGGTGATAAGGGTGTGTTGAAATTACCCCGGTTTATTGTATTGGGGCCTATCTGGGGTTTAATATCAAGAAGTATTTTCTTTTAATGTAATTGGGTGTCCTGACATTTGGGGCATAAATGTTGATATCATGATACCTTCTTGTTGGCTTGTTCCCTTTATCAGGATGTAGTGAAATCATCTCTTCTGATTAATTTTTACTTGAAATCAACTTTGTCAGATATGATAAAAGCTTTCCAGATCGTTTTTGGACTTAATTGTGGATGTTCTCCCATCCTTTTACCTTCATTCTGTGGATATCTTTGCCTTTGAAATGAGTCTTTGGCAATCTGCACATGGCTGGGTCTTGTCTTTTAATCCATTCCTGCTCATCTGTGTATTTTAATTGGTGAGTCGAGACCATTTATATTCAGTGTTATTATGGATAATGTGTTTGTGGTTTACTGCTGTTTTGATACTGTTGTTTTATTTAAGTCCATCTTGATTCTCATTTAGATGATTAGTCTTCTGTTGACCTTCATCTGTGTGGAAGTTTGGGGGTTTGTTTTGGGGGTTCCTCTGTGTGCATTTTATCTTTGAGAATGATTTAGTCACTGTAAGTTTCTTTTAGGGAAGGGACTGATTCTGTCTAGGAAAATACCTTGAAAGGAGGCTACTTTGGGAATGGGATAAATGAAAGAAAGATCTCTCCAAACAAAAAGCTGGTGGAAATGTGTGGAGGAATGCAGAGGAGGAGGAGAAGGAAAGGATGGTGAGAGGAAGGAATGCTGGGCAGGACGGTACGGGGGCGAGGCAAGCAAGGTGTCTTGGGCAAAACTGAAGAGGTCTCAGTGTCAAGTTGACACCAGTGCTGGGTCAGTATTAGGCATTGATTTGTGCCCTGGGTGCCTGTCTTAACCTCGTCCCCGTCTTGGAATTGAGGAAAAACCTCAGGAAGCTACTACCTGCAAGGAACTATAGCCAGGAAAAACCTTCTGGGGTTAGGGGACAAAGGACTTTGAACAGGGGCGCGTCATAGTCAACCTCTGGTTTCTTTGCTGTTGAATCTGATACAATTCCTTCCTTCAGTTGCCTCCAAACCTTCAGTTAAATTTGCTTATGTATAAAGGCTTCATGTGACAGGTTTGAGGAGAAATCAGGAAATAGGGCTTTTCTGCGTCTGGGTTGGCAGAGAGAAGGGAAAAATCTACTGGAAGCAAGAGAGAGATTGAGGACCCAGGAGGACCAGAACTTTGGAGCCAGACATGACATTGGGGACTCACAGAAAACTTGGGAAGTCCTTGCCATAGGACACAAGCCAAACTTGTTTTTTTTTTTTTTTTTTTGGTACCAGGAATTGAACTCAGGGTCACTCAACCACTGAGCCACATCCCCAGCCCTATTTTGTATTTTATTTAGAGACAGGGTCTCACTGAGTTGCTTAGCACCTCACTGTTGCTGAGGCTGGCTTTCAATTTGCAATCCTCCTGCCTCAGTCTTCAGAGTTGCTGGGATTACAGGCATGTGCCACCCTGCCCGGCCCAATCTTTTTTTTTTTTTTTTAATAATTTTTTTTCCATTTTGGAATGATTATGGATTTAAAGAAAAATTGCAAAGAAAATATGGAGTGTTCCTATACAGTCTTTATTCAGTTTTCTTGAATGCTGACATCTTTTATGCCCACGGACCATTCATCAAGACTAAGAAATAAACATTGGTACATTACAGAGCTTTTTTGGATTTTATCAGTTTTTCCACTAAAATGCTATTCAGGGACTCAGTCCAGGATCCTATACTGTATTGAGAGCGATCATATTTAAATCTGACAGGCAACTGACTACAGTTTGATTACAAGGACTTTGGTGTATTAAATAAAAAGGGGGGGAAAGAACATATTTTGGGCACAATCGAGGCAACATTAGGTGGTAGAGTCGGCAGCTCCCATTCAAAGGCTCTTGCCTGCTTTTCCCTTGGGCTAGCAGGAATCCCTTCCAGATTTCTCTTTCACCACCTCCTTCTGTTTCAAAAGGCCTTGCACAACTAATGCATCTGCTATTCTAACCTCATAATACACCAACCCCAAATTTTAGCAAAATTTTTACTTAGCAATCGTCACTGATATTTATTGAGCATCTCCTCTGTGTCAGGGTGGGCACTGTACATGCAACATCTTGCTGAAGCCCCTCAGCCACACTATGAGGCAGGTAATGTTATTGTCCCATTTTACACGTGAGAAAACTGGACCATAGAGGTGGAGAGGCTTGCCCAGATCACACAACCCTGAGTCCATTACAAAGTGATGGAACCGGGTTCAGAACTTGGAAGTGGGGATTTGGTGTAACTGACACCTGCTCCTCCTTAGGTGTGAGCAATGCCTTGGCAGGCCTTCAGGTCTGCAGGTGTGGCACCTTTTGTGATTGACATATTCACCGTATCTAAATTAATTAAATAATTGGGAATTCATGGGGTCAGTGTTACCAAAATGACCTGGGAACTCGGAATACATTATATTGATTTCCTGAGAAGAGAGAATTCACAGGGGTGGCTGGAGCTACTGGCCTCCTGTCCAGGTCACCCCCTGCTTGCCATGGGGTTTCTGACTCCTGGGTGCACAATGGTTGGATTGACGTGGATGCCTTTGAGCCAAGGATGGTAGGAGTTTTGGTTCCTCTGATAGGAAGGACCTCAGGAGGACACTTCTGGGCCCCTTACCAGACTTCCTGGAGCTTTCCTTGTTATAGACGGTGGATGCTATGCTGAGGCGGGTTCCCATTTGCTCTGACCCGTACATCCTCCGGTAGAGGGCTTCCTCATTCTTAACAGAGTTTTTCTTGACAGCGTTGGAAGGAGCAGGGGAGAAGGTACATCTTTGTTACGGGGTCTGCTTTGTCCACTCCCCCTTACCCCCCCCCCACCAATTTTAAAGGTTTGCTCAAAGACCCACAAAGGCAAAGAGGAGAGAGCTTCCCTGGCCTCTGGGCGAGTCTTGGAGGGGGCAGGGAGCTGCTCCTATGCTGTCCTCCCATCTCTCCCTACCTCAGGGGGAGGCCGGGAGGGGCCAGAGCCCCCTAGGGCTGGGGCTGCCCCTATAATCACACGACCAGGGGGTTCTTCTCACTGGGTCGCAGGGTTCTCCTCTTTCAGATGGTACTCCTGAGAGAGTTGGGGGGAACGGCAGGTCTGCAGGGGTTGGTTGGGTGAAGCTGGACAGGGTGGGAGGTGGGTGCAGATGGTTCATCTGGGTGTCGGTGTGGGGCAGGAGTGCATTGCAGAGCCCTGAATTTAAAAATGTAGCTGGACACTGCAGGCGGGGAGTGGGCTCCCCTCATCCAGATGGTGGGGCCACGGGGCGGGGCGGGGGGAGCTGGGTCACCTGGGGGGTCACCTGTTGGCTCCTACCTGCTGTTTCACTACTTTGCATTTTTTCTTTTCCTTCTCAGCGGCTTTGGGGGGCAACTCCACCTTGGTTTTTGGCTTCTGAAAAGGCAGAAGTGGAGAGACCTTCAGTGTCCTCATGAGGATTCCCAACTTCCGTCCCCAGGGAGGAGGAGTCCCCCTGGACAGTAGGCTGCTGCCGCCCCGAAACCAGAGGCTTGTCTTCCTGTTCCCCTCCCTGTCCCCAGTTCTCCAGGTACCTGCTGCTGCTCAGGCCACTGCCCCAGGAATGACCTTCTGGACCTCAGGTCTGGTCTTGTCCCTTTCCACCTCAATCTGTCTGTGGCTGCTTGTCACTCAATCCCCTGTGCTCCCTCAAGTGGCCTTCTGCCTGTCACTTCCCTGCCCAGCCCCAAGCTGCACAGCCGGAAAGCTGTCTTGCAGCAGAGCCTGCTTACCCAGGCCGCACCCCTCCTCTCCTCCCACCCCATCCCCCATCCTGTCTTCCCGAAGTAGCCATCACACTAACCGTCACACTAGGTCCTGTCCTGTCCTTTCCCTGAAGGCTCCTCGTGACTGTCAAGGAGCCGAGCATTCCCTGCTCTGAGTCTGAGCTCCTGGTTCGTAGTCTGTGTTGGCCTTGCAGGGCCACAGTGGAAGCAGGGAGGGTCATCAGCCATCTCTAGGGTCCCGTGGGCAAAGAGCCTCACAGGGCTGCCTGAAAGAAGCTCCTCAGTCTGTAAGAGCTGGGGCTGGGGTGCTGAAGCATCCCGGGACAGACGGAGTTGAGGTTCTCCTCTGGAGATGAGCCATTTGTAATTATTATTATTATTATTTGTGGTGCTGGGGATTGAACCCGTGGCCTTGTGCATGAGAGGCAAGCTCTCTACCAACTGAGCTAGATCCCCAGCCGTGGGCTGGGCCACTTGGAGCAGCTGAGGTTCCGGGTCAGGCTGCCTGGGTTGGAATCCTGATTTGTCTGTCATTCAGGGACTGCATAACCTTGGGTAAATCACTGCTCTCTCAGTGGCTTTTTCTCCTTAGCTGAGGATTGGGGACAATGGTAAGATCTACCTCCTCAGATTCTCATGAGAAATAGGTGATTTTCTGCAGGTAGGTTCGAAGCTGCCCAGGAAGGATGCGCCGAGGCAGGCTTGGCGCAGGTGGTAGGCATGTTTCCATGGTGGCCGGGTGGAGGGAGCTGTCCAAGGGCTTCAGGGATGGGAGATGCCAGATTGCCTTCTAAGGAGAGCGGAGTGGGTCCCTTCAAAGTTTTGTTGGGCTTAGTGGGGCAGGGGGAGGGGGCTGCAAGTTGGGACCAGGGCTGAGTTTTCAGGTCAAGAGGAGAGAGGGTAAAGCCATCTCCTCAGGGTGGTCCTCCTTCCATGGCCCCAGCTATCAGTCCTCAGTATCCCCACAGGGGCTCCTGGAGTATCCCAAGCGTCCCCAAGGCTGGGTGGAAGTGACATGGTGAAGCCTTAGACCCAAGGAAAGTGCACCAGCCACAGTTCAGAGCTCTTGTGGCTGGGACTCTGGACTTCGGGGGTCTTCTTTGATGCCAAACGGGTCACAGGAGGCAGCAGTGATCTGAGATGGTGGCAAAGCCCAGATTGCCGTGACCCATCCCAGAAGGAAGGAGAGGAGGCTGAAGGGGCTGGAGGGAGGTGGACAAGCCTTTTCCCAGCCAGGTCCACTAATGGGTCTCCCGCCACCTCCTGCTGTCCGGGACCTGCCACGTAAGATCTGTCACCCTCTTTCTTAGGAGCTTCTCTAAAATTCCAGAACAAATGTTCCCTCACGGGGTCCCAGATTATTTACAATAAAAGCCGTGTGTACGGTAAAGCTGTTAAGACGTTATTGTAACCCTAGTGAAGGAGATGGGGACATTCTAACTGTGAAGGTGAATAGGATTCTGTGATCAAGACTGAGTTCTGAGGGAGGCGGCTGTCGGTAAGTCATGAGCACCTTAGTGGAAAACGTGTTCATCAGGTGTCTTTTAGATTGTCGCAGGGAATTAGCTCTCAAGGCCTTTTTGGCTGTCTGAGAAGCAAGCAGGTCAGGAGAACCGGGGCGATCCCCAAGGGCAGGGGTGCCTAACCGGAGAAAGCCCAGTGCAGGCCGTTACGGGGCGTTGACCTAACGGAGTCCATGAGCTTGGGAATCGGATACCTTTGGGCTTGAGAACTGGTTCTGCCCTTAATTAACTGTGATCTCAAGAAAACGGCTTTGCTGCACCCCCGTCTCCTTATCCTCCAGTTGAGGGGTGGTCACGGCTCCTACCTTGGAGCCGGCCTTGGAGCAGCTGAGGCATTAACCCCTCTGCGATGCCAGGCCAGTAAGGGAAAAGCTATTTGTAGGGTGAGCGTCGTCACTAGTAATGCTGCTGTCACCCATCTTGCTCTGGGGTCAGAGGAGACAAGATCGGGTGGCATCTTCTGCAGAGGATACCACTTTCCAAGGACGTGGCTTGGTTCTTCATAGCTGATGGCCTGGGGTGGCGAGGTCTAAAGTGGTTGCTGGTCCTCGGGAAGGACTCCACCTGCCAACCCCGAGCCCCCAGGAGCTGCCCCTTGGCCCTCCCAGATCCTGACCGAGGATAACAATCCTCCTGGTTTGACTAAGCTGGAGCCAGCCTTTCCCTGACCCCCGACTTTTCTTAGAACATTCATACTTTAGGAAACGTGCATTTGTCACTTATTTGTCTCTGCCCCTCTGTGACATAAATCTTCTCTCAGCCCCTTGCCCATCTTCCATGCAGGAGTGTCCCTCCAGGACCTGGAGCCATTTCTTGAAGGACAGTCAAGAGAGGCTGGACTCCGATGGGTCTTTGGGGGGTGGGTAGGAGGCTGAGGAGCACCCGTCCACAAACACGAGGGCCTACTGTCCCCAACCTCCCCCCAGCATCCTCCAGAACCTTGCCACTAGCTCACTGTGGTGCTTAAAAAAAGGCTCCCTCATCTTGTCTGGGGGGAGATGTGAATAACGTCTTCCCGCCATTTTTCCTGGCAGTACCCACCTGGAGACCTAGCTGCTTCTTCCCCCGCCTCCGCTCCAGCCACTCCAACACCCGAGTGAGGTCGGACATCCGCCTCTCCTCGGGGGTCCTCCAAACGGACTTCCTCTCCGTGGGCATGGCTCTCTTTGGGTCCTCCTGGTCCTGGGACATGCTGGAGTGTTGGCTGTGCCTGGGTGGGAGGCTGGTGATCTCCTATTCTCTCCACCCCTGGGTCTTGATGCGCTCGTGCGTGTGATTCAGAAGGTGGCCTGTGGCCTCTCGATGTGATCATAAACAGCAGAGTTAGCAAGCAGCTTGGATGTCGGCCTGAAAAGAAGGCTGAGGGTGATTGTGAGGTCACGCTGGGCTTGGCAGCCGGTCCCTGGGGTGACAGTGGAGATGGCCCTTTAGCTGCATTCCAATTTTTCCCCATGTGGCCACAGCCTCTCTTCAGGCACCGTCTTCCTCTGGACCTTTCTACGGCTTCCGTGACAGCCTCTCCACCTCCATTTCCGCAGAGATCTTGCTAAGACAAAGGTCAGCTCCGGTGTTTCCCTTTCTCAAAAATTTTCAGTGGGTCTCTGTTTCTTATTTTTAAATTATATTTAAATTTCCTAGTTCCTCCTCCCAGTTTTCCACAGAGTATTCTAGTTAGAACACAGTGATTTACAAGTTCAGTTACTCTCTGTTCATTTATTTATTCCACAGATAGCATCACATACCTGCTGCGCTCCAGGCAGAGTGCTAGGGATACAGTGCAGGAGAAAACCGTAGGCAGACCTCTGAATGCCTGGGCTGGAGCCAGGCGCCGTGGCACACGCCTGTAATCCCAGGGCTTTGGGAGGGTGAGACAGGAGGATCGTGAGTTCAAAGCCAGCCTCAGCAATGGTGAGGCACTCAGCAACTCAGTGAGACCCTGTCTCTAAATTAAATACAAAATAGGGCTGGGATGTGGCTCAGTGGTCGAGTGCCCCTGAGTTTAATCCCTGGTTCAAAAAAACCCCCCAAAACAAACAAACAAACAAAACCCCAAACTAAACATGTGCTGGAGGGAAAAACAGGAAGCATGTGGTTCCTGTGTGCGTTCACAGTAACAAAGAAGGCTGGGCTCCCTGAAGGACAGGAATTTGACTCTAGGAGGAAGCCCCATACAGTGGAACCAGACTTGGATGGGGTTCTGGGCGAGTCGCCTCTGAGTATCAGGTTAAGTGGGTTCCAACAGGGCTGCTGTCATCTGAATGTTTGAGTCCCCCACAAATCCATATATTGAAGTTTTAACCCCCAAGGTCATGGTATCAGGAAGTGGGGACCTTGGAGGCGATTAGTTCATGAGGCTGAGTCTTCATGGAATTAGCACTCTTATGTAAAAAGATGACATAGAATTAGCCAGCCCTTTCCATCTTGTGCTGATAGAACTAGAAAGTGCCATCTATGAACTTGGAAACGGGTCTTTACTAGATGCAGAATATGTTGGCGTCTGGATCTCGGATTTCCTAGACTCTGGAACTATGAGAAATAAATATTTGTTGTTATAAGCCACCAGCCTATAGTATTTTGTTACAGCAGCTCTAGTAGACTGTAACATCTAATAGGTGAGGGCTATGGTCCAGAGGGAAGAGCATGTGCAAAGGTCCTCAGGCAGGATGGGAGGCAGGGCATGGCATACTTAAGCAACAGCAGGAGGCCGGGGTGGCTAGAGAATCATGTGGTGAGAAACAATGTTGGGGAGGTTGGTGGAGTCCACACGTACAGGACCCTGGAGGGCACAGGCTCTGCTCAGACTGGAAAGGTAATAGAAGCTAGGAGAAAGCAATATGGGGGAGGAAGTGACATGGTGAGCGGCTTAGCTTTTACGCTGCTGTGACTAAAAGGTCTGACCACAACAATTGAAGAGGAAGAAAAGTTTATTTGACGGCTCGCGGTTTCAGAGGTCCATAGAAGGCCCGCTCCATTCCTCGGGGCTTGAGGTGAGGCTGAACATCATGGTGGAGAGTGTGACAGAAGGAAGCAGCTCACATAATGATCAGGAAGCAGAGAGACTCCACTCTCCAGGTACAAAATATGTACCCATAGCCACGCCCCCAGACGACCCCTTCCTCCAGCCACACCCACCTGCCTCCAGCCACCATCCAGTTAATCCCATCAGGGACCAATTCACTGATTAGGTTAAGGCTCTCCCAACCTGATCATTTCTCCTCTGAACCCTCTTGCATTGTCTCAGCGTGAGCTTTTGGGGGACACCTCACATACAAATCCTAACCATCAGCCTCCCTTCCTCCCTCCCTCTTTCTCTCCCCACCCCTCCCCTCCCCTCCTCCCCTCCCTCCTCCCCCCTCCCCCCTCCTCCCCTCCCTCCCCCCTCCTCCCCCCCTCTTTCCCTCCCTCCCTTCCTTCCTTCCTTCCCTTTTAACTGAAGGCAACTATGTATTGTGCCTGAATCACAGATGAGGACATCTGTATAACTAGGACCCCAGAATCCTCCTTGTGGCTTTAAGTCACAACCACCCTCTAAGGGTAAACATCATCTTAACTTCTAATTTCCTCCTGCTTTAACTTTTATATTTCTAATTTCCTCCTGGTTTTTAACCTTTTGCTCAATTCATACGTTTTACAATTTTACTTGCAAGATTTTGAGTCAATCCTTTTGTTTTTTACAGGGCAGTGTCTTCATGTTACCTTCATTTTTGAAGAAAGACCTGCCAGGTAACAGAGTTCTTGTTAATGGGTCTCAGCAGGTTTCCTGGGCCCTTTTGCCGCCTGCTGCCCGCCCTGTTTTATGTAAGAGGTGGCGGTAATTGTGTTGTTGCTCCCTCACTCGGGAGTTGCTCTTCTCTCCTGGACTTCTGTCTTTGTTTTGTCTTTTGACTGTTGCTCAGACGTGTCCAGCTGTGGGTCTCTTTGCAGTTTTCCTGCTTGAGGTTTATAGAACTTCTTGGATGGGTGTTGAATGTTTATCATAAGATAATAGAAGGTATTGGCCCTTGTTTTCTCCACAATTTTTTCTCTACTCCTTACTTTTAATTTTCTGCTTCTGGGACTCCCATTATACATGTGTTGGTGTGCTTGATGTTGCCCCACTCATCCCTAAAACTGTATTTTTCTTCGTTTTTTTCCCCCCTCTGTTCTTCAGATGTGGATGATTTCTATTACTTTATCATCAAGTTCATTTTTTTCCTCTGCTATATATAATCTGCTCTAATAAATCTTTCATTTCAATTGAATTTTCAACTCCAGAATTTCCATTTGTTTTTCATAATTTCTATCTCCTTATCTGAATTTTTATCTGCTGATTCATTTATGTCAGAACTTCATTTAAATTTTAAACATGGTTTGCTTTAGTTCTCTGAATACATTTATAATAGCTATGTGAAGTCAGAGACTGTCTCTAGTAATTGCTTGTTCCCAGAGTATGTGTCACACTTTTCTGGTTTTTTTTTTTTTCATATTTTATAGTTTTTTTATTGTTGAAAACTGGAGATTAAAAAATATTGTCATGCTCTGTTGATTGATATGTAATGGATAAGTTAATTCACTTGATTTTACCATTCTGCAATGGCCACATACATCAAAACATTATGTCGTACACCATGGATAGATGCAGCTTTACCAATTTAAAAAAGAATGTGGTAACAACCCTGGATTCTGATCCCCTTCGCTATGGTTCATGGTTACTGTTTTTTCATTTGTTTCTTTGCTTACTAACTGACCTGACTCTGGGGACCCTGTCATCCTTGCCTGGGAAGCTGTGGATTCTGTCCTCCTTATAATATGAAGCTGCACAAGTTTCTGATGAGTCTCTCACAGCCTCACTTTGGAAGTGACATCCATCATTTTTTGCCACACTTTGTTTACGAGAAGCAAATGATCATGTCTGCTGCAGCCCCAACAGGGAATTACCCAGGGCACTGAGACCAGGAGGTGAACCAAATTCAGGCCATCTACTTGTGCTGTCTTTTACTTTCTGCTGGGCTCTTTCTCATCTCTAGGTGTAGGCTCAGGGCTGGCTGGGAGGAGGGGGTGGCTGGACGGGACTCCTCCTGGCTTCTGCTCTGCATGCATGCACACAGCTTTAGCAGGACTATAGCTGCCCCCAGGATTTGACCGCAATCTGGGTCTGGTAGGGCTGTTGGCCCTCCTGCTTTTTCTGCCTTGGGGACTTTGACTTCACAAGGCTGCCAAGAGTAGGGACCACCACTGCTTCCAATGAAGACAACCCCCTTTAACCACAGCAGAGAAAATGCCCATCCTCACAGCCGGCCCCACCCTGGAGCAGCCTCCCTATGGGCTAACCTTGGAGGAGAGCAGCCCGGGGCTAGAGTGCCCCAGATCCTGGCTGCTCCTGCCCACATTTCTCTAGTTCTCAAGCATGAACCTTGCTCCAACTCTCGTGCCCTGTTTGGTTTCCAGAATGCTGCATAGCTGTTTGGGTTCACTTATCCAGTGTTATAGTCGCTTTGGGGAAAAAAAGATTCACTTTTTCTTCACTCAGTCGTGGGCAATGTCCCTTGCCAATGTCCTCTTCATACCACATTTTGTAACATCCCACTTGCTACTATGGGATGCATGTAAAACATCACCTATTTGCCTACCCATATTTTTAAAAAATTACTATAATCCTTTAAAGTGAAGAATTTTTTTTAAAAAATCTCCCTTTGGATATATTTCAATATTTTAATGTGTGGCCACAACTCAAAAAGAAGGCCAACTCCTGAATTTTTCAAATGCCCCTTAAGGAATAGTCCAATCTCACTGAAAACCAATGACTTAATTAAAACTCTTTAGACTCTATTTCTGCAGTTCTGGTGGGAGAACTGGTAGGGGAACTGCAGAGAATTTTCTGTTTTGGAAATTCTCCTTTGCTGAAAGTGTATCTCCCCGTTGTGTACCGTTTGGTGAAAGTTGCCAAAGCTCCCATCCCCAAAGCCAAGGAATCCTTTTCCAAATGTATTTATTTTTTTCTCCTTCTCCTTTATCAATACTCACTTAATATCAAAATGTTTTTCTTTGCTACCAGTCAAGAATATTTTGACAGCAGATTTTTTTCTGCATGGCTTCTGTGTAGTCATGAGGGGCCAGGTCTATTTTCCCTCTGAACATTTGTGCAGACAAATCAGAAATGCATGGATTTCCTCAAAGCATACCAGCATCAAGGTGAAACGCTTTCTTATGTC